ACAAATTAATTATTCTATTTTGAAATAAAAAAATTTCATCCAAAAGTAATAAGAAAATAGTAAAAAAATTAAAAATTAAAATTATTATTAAAAAAATAATAAAAAAAATTAAAATGCTATCCCTAATAGATCCTATGTGTTCTTCAAATTTTAATTTAAAAATCTTTACTTTTGAATAAATATTTTTCACCTTAGGCTCGCGGCTGTCCGTCGATGCCTTGCGGAAACTCTCACCAACGCCAGTGGGCATTTCCTTCTGATCCGGGGAGCTTGCCGTTGAAGATATGAGGAAATCAGAACAAGTTGAGTCGCCGCCGTCCAACGAGCTCCTACAGCTGCTAACAACAGGAGAAGGAGAAAATAACGAGCACGTTTCCACCGCCTCCTCACTCGTCGTCATCAATTCCTTTTCTTTCTCACGACTGCTAGTTTTCCAGAACCTGCGCGGCAACTTTTTGGAGAAACTTCTAAGAAGAAGACTATTTGCCGGATTTCCGCAGCCGGCGGTGAATAACTGTATTGCATTGACGGATTTGATGACGGTAGAGAGCCTCTTGAGAGCGCTCTTTGAGTAGGATCGAGCTTGCTTGTTTGCGCCTCCATCGTCGGCGCCACTGCAGCGGAGCTCGGTGTCGAGGAGGCAGCGCAACGTGGTGCCGGCGGCTCGCTTCAATGGCGCCCACCGGATTGATTCCGAACGCGAATCGAGCTCCAGGTGCTCTTTGAGCATTAGCGGCTTTTCCGCCATCTAGGTAGAGTAGAAAACAAAGGAAAGAGAGAAAGAGAGAGAGAGAGAGCTGTGAAAAATGGGATTTTTAGGGAGAGGGAATCGAGGTTAGAAGGCGGAATTAGGATGAAGAGAAGAGGAAGCTTCGGAGGCGGAGATCTCCAGACAAAGAAACCTGCGAGACTGATCACGTAGTAAAATATTGAGATGGAATCGAAGAGCAGAGACGAAGAAGGGAGGTAGGGGGTAATTAGCTGGAGATCAGGGACGGATCGGTTCTTTCTCCTGCTCATGAATCTCTCTAGCTGTGATTTAAATATCAAAGAACACGAAATGTTACCATTTTTTATTATTAAAAAGTTTTTAAAATACAAAAATGGCATCTCTTCTATCTATAAAAATTTCGATTTTTACTTACTTTAGTAATGATGAGCCATTACACGTTTGTTATTAGATGGGCCCAGCTGTCCTGTTTGACCAATAAGGCCTTGCCACGGTTGGGAGGCATCAACCACTCCCATCCGACCAAGTGATGAAAATATATTTTAAAGGAAAAATTTTAAAACTAAATGTTTAAGCATATTTTAAAAAATAAAAAATAGGCAAAACGGACGACTTACGAGTCTAGTTAGCATCCAATTAGCATTAAAAAATATTAAAAGAAAATTAAAAAAATAAATAAAATGACGAATTGCTACAGCACAATATTATTTTTATATTAAATTATTTCAAAAAAATTTTAATTTTTAATTACTTACTAATACGGACAAATAAAAATATGTTATATTAACATAAGCTCGTGCATTTTATCCATTGAGCATGTTAATAAAAATTAATATTGTACTGTAGCAAGCCGTCAAATATTTTTATTTGCCAGTCCTTAGGTCTCTACTTTTCCAATAAAAATATTAAATAAAAAACAAATATTTGTTTTAAGAAGGAAATTGATGTGAGGTTTTTGAGTTAATTTTTTAATTGTGTATAATTACTCTGTTTAGAAGTGATTTAATTTCCAATCCTTTTCGTTTTCATTATATTTTTCTCACTCAACTGAAATATTTATTAGTAGCAAGATAGCGTCTAATTAATGAGATTTTTTATTTGATTATTGGCTGAAATATGCTTAGTTTTTCGTGATTTAGTTATTATAGGATGATATTTAATCATTACAAATTAGTTTCTAATTATTATAAGATAAAATAATAATTCCAAGTAAGCAATTGATAAATAGGTATTCATGCACTAATTAGATTAGGAGAGGAAGGTGGTGAAAAAAGATGAGTACAAGGCGTAGAATTTGCAAATAAGAGTAATTACCACTATTTTTTTTTAATATTTTCAGAGTGGTTTATAGCGTCAGTTTGTAAATGCAACTTAGGCATACCTTTTTTCTTAATTTATGTATATAGAGTGAACATGGGTGTACATTAGCCGCTTGATTTTTCCTTCTTTTGCTTAGCCGGAAGAGTAGGACAATGAAAATGAAATCACCATGCTTTACTTTTAAATTTTATATGACTGTTGGCGTCGACGGGTTCATCTTATCAAAACATTCAGTTTGAATATAAGTTTAGTAAAATTGGAATTTGTATGATCCCGAATTTGAATCTAGAAGTTTTCAATCTAAATATTAAATTGATATTCATATTTGATTGAATGGAATTTGTGGGTGACATATCAACGGGAGCTATTGATGACGATAATATGGGTGCAAGGGACTCTAACCTAAGACCTTGCGCTCTCTCAGAGGGATTTTTTTAGGGTGATGAAGAAGGTAATATCCAAACTCATTCCTTGATATTGGAAAAATTATTCTATGCGGATGCAGAATGTCGTACGGAGACGAACCAGAATGTGTCACGTCACCCGTTGCTCGGCACTGCGGCTTGGTACTGTTGATGTGGTGCATTCTGGTTAGTCTTCAAACGATGTTCTGTGTCTAATCTCCGCATAGAATAATTTCTCTTGATATTGAGAGATGTTTCTTTGAAGACAAGTTCAAATTTGACATTCCACTTCCTTTCCTATCCTAAGTCAAGGTGATTCTCCTTCATTTTATACTAATTTTCAGTTAGTAGGCTGAACAATGTAAGAAGTATCATATCTTTTGTGATGCTGTTTTAGGAGCAAGGGAAGCCTAGAACATGAATATGTTCACTTAATTTTCATGGTGAAGCACTAGAAAATGGCATTGTGCATTTTACGAGGAAGACTTATTTGAGCTCTAGAATAACACCAACAATTAGAAGATATTATTATTATTTTCTTTAGCATATAATTGACACATCATTCTAGAGCCTTAGGTTTCGTTTGGGACGATTTTCATACTGCTTCTTAAAGCGGCTTTCTAGCTCAACTTTTGAATTAGAAAGCCGCTTTAAAAAGCAACAAAAAAGTTGTCTCAAATGAAGCCTTAGTCTGATTATTGGGGATAGGTTGAGTCTACTTAAGACATATTTTTTTTTATAAGACCACATCGATGGAGAGGTTCATGGCTCTAATATTGATTAAGGTTTCATTTAGAATGACTTTTTTTTATTACTTTATAAATCTATTTTTGAGTTAAAAAGTTTCTTGAAAACTGTGAAAAAACAGTGGTCTAAAAATGCCCCAAACAAAACTCTTTAAATTATCTACACATCACAACTGGCCACCATACTTAGCAACAAAAAATTTTGGGCCCTGTCATCCATTTTGAAACAAACATAGGGAAAGTTGGAGTTAATACCTTCAGCTCTCTCTTTTTTTGGGACATTTAGGCCATTTAAGGCAAACTCACACACACAACGCATATACATAGACTCGAACCCTGAACCTCTTAGTTGAAAGCCTAAGCTCTCAACCAATAGGCCAAGGAGAGTTGTGTATTTCTCTAGATTTTGAAGATCAAGACGTCTATTTAGAAGTGAATTTTTGGCAAGTTAAAAAGAAGATATGTGGCCTGGGAGTTCGAAATTTTGCCACTCCATGTCGAACTTGGAAAAGAAAATTCAATGTTTTAAATGTTATTTACAAAGTTATGAGCTAGAGAGGAATTCCATGTCTTCATTGAGACCAAGCTCGCATCAAATTCTAAGACTTTGTTGTCCATTTAACTGCTCTCACTCTACAAACCTTTTTCATTTGTTAGAGTTGACGTTAGCAAAAAAATTATGTCAGGATATAGATGATGGAACTTAAAAATTATTAGATTTAATTTAAAATTGATTATGTAAATGAAGAATTTTGTATTACAATAATATCAAAATAAATCGAATAAATTTATTTTTTTAATATAATTTGCATTAGAAAATCTTGATACAATTTTTATATATTTATATTCATGCTAAAATCCCTAATTGACAAGTTATTGACAAGTTCGAGTCTACACGGTAAAACTGGGCTTTATAATATATTTACTAAAACATTGAGCTAGCACGAGTACATCAATCAAAGACAAATTCACATACATCACATAGACAAACTTTAAATTCAAGAACTCCTGATTGATAATCAAAGTCCCCAACAAACAGAACAAGATGAGCTGTATAACATTTAATGAATCAGGCAAATAAAACTTTATCAAAAAAAGTGGATTATATTCTCTCGGGCACAAGACATGTCCGGACTATAATGAAATCAAGCAATGTAGCTTGTACACTGAGTTTATTTCAGATACATCTTCTATATAAGTTATACATAAGATGTGTATAAACCACATGGCTTGTAAACATCAAAGTTTTCACATGTAATAATTTCTCCTTGAGCACCTGCAACAACTGTAGCAATGGAATCTACAGAAAATTTTGTCCTAAATTGTAGCATTTGCTCAGTCTATTAGACAAGACAAAGTAAATGAACATTCCCAGCCCACTTATGAGAAAGTGGCATCAGCTTGCCGATTAAAGATAAATTCATACACATATCACATGTGCAAACTCAATATCTCAAGATCTCTTGATTAATAACCAAAACTTTTGATGAAGTTCACGTAAAGTAATGATGCATAAAATGAATTTATCTTTCATCTTCAACAAGTAAATAAATCCTTAACAAAAATATTAATGGTTAGGCAAAATATAATCTATCATATTCCTTTCTTGTTAGGGTACAACCTATATGCATCATGCACATAAAGTAAGAAACTGAAGTATATGGGAAAATGCCAGAGAAAAAAACAGTCTTCTAAAATTGTTATAGCCCGCAGTGGCTATGTTGGGGCTCTATGGCAATCACAAGCAAATGAAAAAGAACTAGTCTTAATCTAAGATATTTGTTTTGTAGGCAAAAGATCTAATTTGATGCATTCCAAATACATTAAATGTTAACTTCACCTTTGTTTTACATTAATGAAAACACCTAAAAGATAAAAATTCTTACATTTGTTTTAAACAAAAAAAACTTAACCCAAATAAGATTACCAAAATAAACGTCATTACACCAAAAATCATTAAAATTTGACAAAAAGCTTTCAGCAGTCTGTAAGCCTAACTAAAACGCATAAATATAAATAAATATATATGCTGTACCATACATGTAACATAACGCAAGAGAGTACCTTGTCTTCCATATTATTCCTTCCAACCTTGTAATAGCTGTGGATCTCATCGAATCAATTTGAACTAAAAAAGGTGACCAGCCAATGCATGTCGAGATCTCTTACTCGACCAGAACTCAGTGATAATATCTTCCTAGTTAGATTGTCAACGTAATTAATAGGTTATCAATTCGGATGCCACATCGAAGTTCATTCCCACTCGACCGTTGCAGGCGGCTTTGACGTTATATCTTGGCAGACCCTGTTCACTCCACGAACCTGGTTACATATCTTGCTGACCACATCGATGAGAAACTTGTGATCAAAATAATACCTGTAAAGGTTACATTCTAACACCTCAGTAAAATTAAAAGGGGAGAGATTCGAGGGATGAATTATTCTGTGTGGATGCCGAATGCCGTCCAAAGCTTAATGAAAATGCGCCATGTCACCCCCTCTCGGTACCGCGGCTCGGTATTGCTCGGTACTGAGCTCGGTAATGCTCGTACTAGATGACATGGCTGCACCTGATTTGTCTCTGAACGATAAGCTGTGTCCGGTATCCGCACAGAATAATCTCTCGATTCAAGAAGCGCATGACACATATATAATTTAGCAATCAATGAATTGTTGTTATGCAAGCGAAAGACAGTGCTACTCTTAAAGATATGAGAGAGCTATTCCTCTGCAGCTGCGTTCTCTATGGTCATAAAATGAATGGGTGCATCTATACAAACCAAATAAAATTATGATATGGCAGTTTCTAGCCATTGGAGTGGCAGCAGCTATAGGATAGAGATTTCCTCTGTGCATTTTCCAAACAATTAAAATCATGTTTTTCAGAATTAAGACGACGACGACAACAACAACAACATCAAGCCTTTATCCCACTACGCGGGGTCGGCTAAATGAATCCTTTTTCTCTATTGTGTCCTATTAAAAGTCAAATTCTCGTTTAAATCTAATAAAGAAAGGTCATTCCTAATATTTTCTAACCAAGACTTTTTAGGTCTACCCCTACCTTTCTTAACAAATGCCAATGGTGCAAGACACTAATATTTAGATTTACCGAGTGATATCTACAGTTTTTTACTCCAAAAATAATGATTCATGGATGTATTTTATGACTAAACTAAGTCGATAGGCATTGACAAAGCTTAGTATTTATCTCTGATGGAAATAACAGTATTGTCAATATTTTATCTGCAATATTTTCAAAGGAATACCATGAATCTTGTAATTTGGAAATATTCTTATCCCTTTCTCACCAATGTGTCCCATCTATCGATACCATATATGTGAGTCAATATCTGAGCACGCAATTGGTCTTATTAATCCAATACTAAAAGCCACATCCAATGTGTCATCTTTAATTACTTGTGCTATCACCATAAGAGTCTTGATGACCTTCTTAGTATCAGGACAAAAGGTCGATATGCAATCATCTTTTTTTTGCTATCCAATAAAGATCAAGTTCCTCTTCAAGCCAAAAGTATGTCTCACCATATGAAACTTCCGCATAGTCACATTCTTAGATAGAACAAGAATAACCTCTTCCCTAATACATTAAGAACTTCGAGCAAGTTCAAGAATGATTGTAGAAGATGCTCAAGAAGTGTAATAACCTCTTCCCTAATACATTAAGAACTTCGAGCAAGTTCAAGAATGAT